ATCCTCTACGAGATTAAGTTGGGCTGGATAGCATAGTATTTAGTCATGCATGGACGGATAGACATTGACGTACACACATATATATACACACACACACACACAAATACCTGAAGTTTGACAATCGGCTCCTCTTGCATAAACGACTTTGCCATCTTTCGGAGGACGTCAGGAGCTAATTTTGGTACCCGATGGCAGTACTCACCTAGCAACCAGAGTATGGAGGCTCGAGCTGAGGGTACCGTCATGCTGTCTACCAAGTGGACGATACGTACGAGGATCTTCTTGTGATCAGAGGTCTGAGCAAAGTAGGGTCGATGAAAGGAGGGGGCAAGCAAAGAGAAAGGTAGAAAAAAATGGATCTATGGGTTAAATATTAGATAGGGCAAACAGATAGGATAGGATAGACAGATTTATAAATAGGTGATTAAATCCGCCTATAATTTCAGAGCGATTACCATTTTGATGGATAAACGGATATTCGTGCATATACATAGAAACGAACATTCAGGTGGATACGTAAATGAATGATTGGTCTGTATATTGAAAAAGTGATGAAGTAATTTGCGGCAAGCGGATGACCCAAAGTGGCGCCTGATTGGCAAATGGTAATGTAACAGAATATAAAGATAAAAACAATTAAAGGTTATAAAAATGCTAAAGGCATAAGTGAATGTGCCAAAATATTACATTATTACTAATAGTTGGTGATAATTCCGGTTATTCCCTGAAATAAAGGGAATAATGTAAGAATTAAAATGCAGAACAAATCAACGAGTGAGAAAGTAGGCGAAGTAGAGAAAAGTTCAGGATCTGCCAAAAATACAAGTGAGCTGGATCAGATGGGCTCTGCATGGTGATAAGATAAAGGATGTAGTACAAAACGGTGGGTGACAAAGATTGGAGAACAAGGACAAGAAAGGTGACTTTCATGCAGATGAGGCAATCACGAAGTTGGGGACAGACGCCCAGTGAAACTAGTAAAGCCTGTCGAAAGGATGTGGCTAGTCAAGTGTTGATGGAAATAGGTGGCAG